TCAATAATCCTGGATCAATTGTATGGTTTATTCTTGAATGTTGAATTGTCAATGATAAATATTTGACATTAGAACAGAATTATATTTTATATATTGTTGATAAATTGGATGACAACATTGTTAAATATTCTCTTGATTTTAATTCCAAATTCTTCTCTTTTTATCGCATACTCAATATAATAAAATAAGAGTATACGTGTTCTAACGTCAAAATCTGTTCTAATTGGAATGACTCTCACTATAAGAGTACAATAAATTGTTTGTTGTTAAATTTAATTGAAAAAAAATTTTCATATTTAAATTTATTTACATAATATAAAATATTTTTTTATACAAATAATTAAAAAATAATTAAAATTTCCAGTTTGTTGTCTTTTTATGTATAAATTATGTTTATTCTATAAATTATGATTAACTGAGATTTTTATTAAGAAAAAAAAAAATTGATTAAGACTTAAGTATATTGACAGTTTATATAATAATTGACAGTGAAATTTTTTTTTTTTTTTTTTTTTTTTTATTTTGTAATTACATACTCGTACATGAGTGTTATAATAAAAGGAAATCGAAATAATTTTTCTACTATATTTTAATATTTAAATTAAATTTTTAATATGATGGGGCCAGAAATATTCAATAACGAAAATAAATTCAAAATAATTTTTAAGAAATTGGAATTTAATTTAAAATTGAATTCGAAAATGATATTCACAATGTTTCACATAATTCCATTAAAATTATTGGGGTTTAAATGAGATTCAAGGGAGAAATTAATTTTTCAAATACAATTTGGGAAGTAACACTTTTTCTACTTCTATAGTTACTATTTTTTGTTTTATTAATACTTAGAAGCAGAATTTAATAAATAATTTTGTGGAATTTAATATTATTGTACATTTTTAACTCAAGGAATTTTCAGATGTCAGATCGCTAATTAATATTTCAAAAATTTTTAAACATTATTTTGCAAAAAATTAATTTCTTACTAGACTTCAAATTTAAATACAGGGAAATTTCAAATTTCTAATTAATTTATTTTGATTTAAAAGAATGAATATCAAATAATACTTGATCTTTATCAGGCTACTAAATTTAAAGCAAGTAACATTATTGTTAAAGAACTTTTCAAGAATAATTTAAGAATAATTTAAATTTTCTAAATAAATTGAAGAATTCCAAAATATATGAAATACTTAAGTATAAAACATTCATTTATAATAATTATATTTCAAGTTATTAATGAAATTTGATGCTGTTTTAGAATTTTTTTATATAAATAATGGTTATATGGTTGCTTTATTAAAGTCAGTTCAGTATATGTAGTTATAAGAGTTGAATGAATTCATCAGAATTTTGGTACTATACACATAACACATATGTATGTATAAATATATTTATAAGAATTTTAAAAATTAAAATTCAATTCGAATTGAGATTTTGATATTATGTAAAAAATAACAATTTTAATTGTAATTTTAAAATTAAATTTATTCTAATAATACATTTTTATACAAAAATAATATTTAAATATAATATTACAAATAAATACAATTTTAAAATAAAATAAAAGCCAATAAAAATTCAATTGATTAATTTCATTTATTTTATTCAATTATTAAGTATTTAGATGTCAAAATAATTACGATTTATAATAAACCCATTTTGTTTCACTATTCCAATATTAGGAGATAATTTTGAACTGTATCGATTAATTGATTTGAAATCAATTTTTGAAGTAGTTTTGTTGGAGTAAAATTTTAAAATAAGTAGTAGTTTTGGTACATTGGAAAAATATTGGGAGGCAAAATTTGGAATCTATTTTTAAAGCAATTTTCTTTGAAGCAAATTGAGAATTTTTAGGTGAATTGCTACCATAATTAATATTTTTTCAAAAGAACTTTTTTAATTTTTTAATTCAAATTTTTTAATAAATGAAATTGATCAATTTGAAAATAATAATTTAAAATAAATTTTATGAACAGAAAATAATTAATCTTAGTATTTTTAAATTAAAAAATTAAAAATTTAAAAATTATAAAATTTATGACTTCAATGATATTTATATATTTTTTTAACATATATTAGAATTAATTAAATTTAAATGATTAAGTATATTAATATAATTAAAATTGGAAAAATTATTTAAAATAATTGTATAAAAAATTATTTTAATATATAATATAAAAATTGTAAATTAGAGGAAAATAAATATTTTCTATTTACATTTTTAAAGATTTTATTTTTTATATTGTATAATATTCTTTTGTTAGAGAAATATGCACGGTTAGAATATTGGTTGCATGATTTTATTTTACTTAGAAATTTATTTTTTTGTTTTTATTTAATCTTGTATTACAATAATTCAATATTATATAAATGGCAGTTTTAGATTTTACAATTTAAATATGATTTTTAATACAGAAGAAATATAAGTAAGTAATATTGTAATAAAATTGGTTTTTTTGTTAAATTATAAAAATGTTGTACAAACTGTTATAAAATAGAGTTGATAAATTAATATTGGAGTTTTTAAAAATAATATTAAATTATTGGAATTATTTAAAAGATTTAAAATATTTTTAAAAAAATTATCATTGTTTCACAATAAAAATTCAATAATTTGTTAACAGCTATTAATAAAACAAACAATATTCCGAATCATTTACAATGTATTGCTGATATTTCGAGTATATCGTAGGTTTTTTTAAATTTCCTACTGATTTTTAATAATCAATTCAAAAAATTTTTCAAAATTTTTCTTAAAATTTTAAAATTATTTTGGAGCAAAATGTATAGTGTACCAAAGGGGTAAATTTGCATAGAGCCAATAATAATTTTTATTTTTTAAAATTAGAAATTTTTGATATTAATGTAAAAAATATTAAATTCTAAAATTAAAATTGTCTGAATTTTAATTACTGTTTATGATTCAATTGTGAAACTATGATAATAATTAATGCAATAAATATTAATTATGTCATTGTATAAATAAATTTTATTTTAGAAATTTTAAATTAATAAATATAAAATTAATTAACAAATAAATGTATGTATGTACATAGTTGTCAGTGTTAAGATTTTATGAAATTAACAAAATTTTTTGATTTTATTGTCGGTTGATTTACAAATTTTATAGTTTGCAATTAGAAGAATTTATTTAGTTTTTGTAGAAATGTTAATACTATTGTTAATGTTTACATGTTGTAGGGAATTGTTAATACTACAATTTTTTATTCTGGTTTGTAAAGAAATTTAATGATCGTAAAATTTTGCTACTGTCTTATAGAAATTGTAAATATATCGCATAAATTACCACTTTAAGAAAAAAGAAAAGGTTTTCCATTAATTGCAATTATTTACAAAAAAACTGCAATTAATTAAAAAAGTTATAAATTTTAAGAGTTTAATTAAAGGAATAAAAAACTAATAAAATTTAAATTATCGCTAAAAATTATATGATTGAGTAATTAAAACTTTTATTTTGTAGAATAAAATTTTTCTACAAAAACATTGTTTTATAAAATAAAATTTAATTATCCCATAAGAGGGTGATGATTTCTACAAGATACTATTTTATATTAATGCTCCCCCGTCATGTAATTTTTTGAATCTCGTATCGGATATTTTCAGATTTTTTAATTTCTTTTTTGAGTAAAATACAAAAAAACGAAGGAATTCAAAATAAATTTAATATTAACTTCATTAATTATAGTCAACTTCAAATTAGATTATACGATTAAAATTAATTTACAAGATTACAATTTATTGCTTTAAGAATAACATATTAGAGTTCTGTTTATAAAAGACAAAATTAACAAATTTGCAATTAATTTGTAAAATAATAGTTTAATTACAAAAAACTGAATTCTTCAATTAAAGTGGCAATTTTTTAAAGAAAACACTTTGTTAAGTTTACAAAATCAACTAGTATTTAGTATATATGACTGCTACTAAATTAACTGTGCAAGCTATAAGTATTAGAAGATTCAATTCAATTTTCAAAAAAAGAAAAATTTTTTACAAAGTATTTCAAATATTACAATAGACTCATCTCTCGTTTAACGGAAGCTCATTACATGGAATTTCGGTGTTACGGAATTCAAAAATTAAAGCAAAATCTCTTTTTACGGAAAAAAAAAATTCGATTTAAGGAAAATTTATAAAATTATTCCTGTTTTCTAATGTTGTAATAATAAAATTTTTCTATATTATTTTGCAAATTAACAAAAAATATATAAAAATTTTTTAAGCAAAAAGATTCGATTTTCGAACAACATTTCCGGAATATATTAGTTCTGTAAAGCGAGAAATGAGTCTATATTAAACGTACATACATACATTCATGAATTTGATGTAAAAGTAAAAAATTACAAGGGTACATAAAATAATTTTTAGTTGTTGGAAAAAATAAATTTCTTCTTAAATTACAAGAACAAAAAATTAAAATAAAAAATTAAATAAAATTTTTACAAAATATTCAGAAAAAACAAAAAATTTAAAATAATTTTACATAATATTTATTTTTTTTTATTTACTTTTTCATTTATAGTTTATTAAATTATTATTGTTTTATTTTTCGTCTCTTTTTTTTTCAATTAAAACATTTTTTTTTTTTTGTATAAAAAATCTGATAAAATATTTTGTTTTTTTTCTTTATTTTTTTTTAAATATTTTGTAATTAAATATTTTACATAGACATTTTTATATAATATGTATAGTTTTTTTTTTTTTACCTTTTTTTTGATTATTAAACGAAAAACACAATGATTTTTGTTTAATAAAATTTTTTACATATTTTTTAATTTTTATTTTTTTTTCTTTTTCTTTAAATACAATTCTTATATTATAAATTTTTTTTTTTTTTTATATTTATAATTACAATACTTAATTATATTTACAAAAAATAAAAAAAAATTAATTATTTTATATTTTTTTTTAATAATTTTATAATACTCCTATGTTGATGGTAATTTTTGCTTTTTTGTATGGAAATTTTAATAAACTAATAATTTTTTTTTTAATAAATAAATAATAAAAATGAATTAAAATTAAAAATTTTCCATATTATTTTTGTTTTTGGGAAGATTTTTTACAATTTAATGGATTTTTCTATTTATCTTACAATTATTATTGTTATTTTGTATTTGTAACTAGTTTGATGACAATACGATAGCAATTTCGATTATGCTAATTTAAATGAGAAAATCTTCCTACTCATTTTGGTAAAATTAGATGAAAAAAAAAGGAATTGTTTCGGAAACTCAGAACTAATGTGTAAGTTTAAATTTCAATTACGTTACTAGAAAATATTAATTGAAATTATTAAAAAATAGGGAGATGTTAAATGCATTTTTAAGGGGGTTTTGAAATAATTAAAGAATTTCTTCCAATTTTAAATTAAATTTTTAAATTTTCTTATACAAATGCAGAGTCTGCAACTGGAATGTATGACATTGATTAGCGAACAAGTCTTAATTTTCTGTAAATTTTTTAAATGTAAGGAAAAAAAATAATTATACATTTTTATTATTACTTAATACCAGGGTATATTAAGAACTCTTATATAATTTTAGTTCTTAATTAATTTAAATATTGAATTTAGATGACAAATTATTGCGTTAAAAAAATAATGAGGGTTCAATATAATTATGTAATGTGCGATATTTTACAAAGTAGAACATGAATAAGTGATTAATTACTCATTAAAATTAAATGTTTTAGTATTAATAATTAAAAAAAAATTAAATTTAAATAATAATTTCGCATTATTTACATATAATTTCAATATAAATTAAAATTTTTCATTTAACATTTTGAATTTTAATTAAATTAGTGAGAAATTTCATTCATAATATTTAATTAATATAATATAAAATATGAAAAAATTATGATAATTTTTTTTTTGACAATAGCTTTCAAAGTTTTAAATTGCATACTTTACTTGAACATAAGCTAAGGTTACAAAATTAATAAAACATTGTGAATTAATTTCGAAAAGAACTCAAAATTTATATGAAATTCAAACACTATACTGCAGGGCTTAACATAATTACAATAATTATTACTTGTGGAAAATTACAATATTAAGAAAATTAATAGGGCTGACCCTATTATTTTCAGTGGTTCTTCATTACTGTCATCATTACATTAAACTAGTTACAATATTTCTACTTGGTTATCAAAGTTTTACAATGATTTTTTTTTTTTTACAATTTCTCTGATTTTTTTCTCTATTATGTCATGTAAATTGTGTGTAAATGTAATTGTGAGATTTTTGTGATTTTGTGTTTAATTTTTTTTTATAATTTATGCAATTTTATTATTTTTTTTTTTAATTTTTGGTATTTGTTACAATGGTTTTTTTTGTTTTTTTTTAATTTAATTTTGATGTTGAATAAAAAAAAATTTTTTTTTTTTTTTAAATTTGATGTTTACTAAATTTTTTTTAATTTGATTTTTTTTTTAATTTTTTTTTATTTATTTATTTAATAATAGTTTTTTTTAATAGTTCATTTTTTTCTTATATAAATAACCTAAAATTATATTTTATATATTTTGTTTGTCCTAGAAAAAGAATTTCAAGTTAAAACTTCCTGCAAGTGTTTGGCATATTCATGTGCTGTCGTGAAATCTCTTGTGCTAAAAAATATTAAAAAAAAAATATTTTGATTAGTAATTTTTATATTTTAATATTTATTTAATCATTTAAAATTCATAAAATATTTAAAATAGTCACAGTCTTTTACTAAACTATTCACGATACTCAATTGGTTTGAAATTGAATTCAACATTTGTGATTTGCACAAAAAAGAATTTTTAGGGAAAATTTTACAAGAAATAAGGGGGGGGGGGCGGGGGATAAAAATTGTGAATGGCTTGAAATGATTTTTATTCACAATTTCAAGTATTTCTTGATTTCTATACTTGAAAATCATTGTTTAACATCAAAAGTTGTTTTAAATACTTGAATAATATGAAACCATTTTTGAATAAATTTGAAATGAATGTTTGCTCGAAGAATATGTATATTGTTCATTCTATCCCATAAAACAATATTGTTACTCATATTCTTTTGAAAATTTTCTCATAAAATATTCAATGCAATGATTGAAATCTATTATAGTTTGATTTTGAAATTCATTTTTATACAATTTCTCTGACAAGATTAAATATTTTTACATGTAATCGCAGAATTAAATTTGAAGGGTATTATGAATTTGTTGTAAAATTTGTGAAACGAAGAAATATTCAATTACATAAATTATTATATATGAAAATGATCCTGTTCCTTGCTAATTTGTCTACACTTGTTCCAAATTGTATTGAAACTTCCACTTAACTGGTAATGTACTCTGAGAAAATTTCATAATAATATTATTAATTCAATTTGAATCACTTGTATTTATTAAAAAACATTAGAGATAAAGACATTAATTAAAAGAATTACAGGAGGAGAGGGGGGAAAAAAAGCTACAATATTATGACATGAGAAAATTGAAATTCAAAATTTATTGTAAGTAAATATGTGAGAACTTAAACAGCAGATATCGTCATTTCATTCGCTCTTCTTATGTGAGACCGTAATTTTAGAATGTCAAGTAGTATATTTTCTCATTCTAGTATTAATTCAACTTAAGTACAGTACAATATTTATGTCGCATGTCAATTATAATTCTGTCGTGTAGTTTTTTTTTTAATTTTTTGAAGTTATCCTAGAGTTGTTCTAATTTTTACAGTATTTGTTATTTCTTTTTTTTTAATTTATTCATTTATACTTTTCATATAGCCCTTCTTTTATTTAACTTGTCGCTTACGTATGCTACAGGTAGGTAATAAATTGATTATTATTGAAAAATTTTGTAATTAAATTACAAAACTTGTTCTTATGCAGGTTCAATACCTTACATTCGTACAAAAAAGTATACCTGAAAAATAGCAATGCAATTGGAAATTCTATGTTTTTCTGGTGTGATTTGAAATGTCACAAAATATTGGAATAGGGAAAATTTGAAAATTTAATTTGGATAGAAAAATTCTTTTTTTTTGTTTTTCATTTGAGTTTTGTAAAAATTTCTGATTTCATTACAATTCCTCAAATTTTTATGTGGCGTACTAAAGTAAAAATGAATATGTCAAATTATTTCACCGCATAATATTAAAGCGTACATATAGTGTAGTCGTGTGTATTTGTTTTTAAGCAATAGGGAAAGATTTGGCAATGAACAACCTAGATGGCGCACTGGTCGTGCTATTTGCTTCTTTTACATATCAAATAACACAATAGATTTTATTTAATTCGAATAATATTTGAACTTTGTTAATGGAAAAAATGGAACGCCATCTATAAGCTCTGACATTTTAAATCAAGTCCTTGAATCATAATTGACGTTAAATGGCTGATATGTTGTATAGCGTAGCTATAATTTCACACTTCATTTAAAATATTTGTAATAGTTGCCCTTAATACTACAAAGTGCTCGCTTAATTTGAACAATAAAATTTTTTATATTTATAATTTTTCTGCAATTATTGAAAAATTTCGTAAAAATACCGCAACACCTTCTGTATAATCTTAAATACTGCGATGATTTTGTAGATCAATAATGTTTTACCTATGGGATCACACATTATAATCCTTAAAAATCCAATCACATTTGCATATTTTTTCTTTTGTTTTTTTTCGTATTTTACTTACCGATATTCTAAATCTCGTTTTCTTCTTCTATCTTGTGATAAAGCTTCTATACACAGCACAATAAATCTGTTATCACACGAATATCTTTCTTGATCTAATATATTATTACCAGATAAACTACTAGCTAAACCATATTTATCCGGACTAGATGAATGCCAAGCATCACAATATGTGTCCATAGCACGTTCACCATTTGGCATAGAACCATGCCAGACAATTTTTTGTGGCCTGAAAATATAAACAATAATAAAATTTTTAAATTTTTTTAAGGTATACAAAAAATATATTTGTTTCTTGAATATTCATTGTTTTCTTCTTGTTTCTTCTAAATTTTGGGAAATTGAAGGATATATAATATGAAGTTCTTCTTCTTCCTATTCTCCAATCGAATATTTTAAGGCAGAAAATAACAATGTTTTTATAGTATAGCTTGTGTTTATAAAATTCATCTTTTGAATTTTAGATCATTGAAAAAGCTAAACAAATAACAATAATACATTAGTGTGCATATACAGAACATCCAATTTCGAATACCTAGCTATACATAGACCCCATATATAACCTAGAACAAATTCTAGTACAGAAATGGGGAAAAAAAGAATTGATGAAAAGTAAATATTAAACATAAAAAATGCAACAGGCACAAAAAATTTTATCTAGACTTGTGTACTTTTATTCACAAAAGATACAGACGAAAATGATGTCAGAGTAAATGTATGTGCGGCGTGTGTAGGTAGGATTTAAGATGAAAATTTTGAAAAAAAAAAAAAAATATAGAGAAGACATACGGAATTGAAATTTTTTAGAGCACACATACTTTTTTTGTTTATTTAAATCCTTTAAATTTCAAATCTTAAAGCGAAGAATATCAGAAATTTCTTATTGTTGTTGTTGTTGAATTTAGAATTGAAAATTCTAAGTGAAAAATTAAATGTACAATTCACTTTTATAGAAATTGTTTTACAAGTACCAAGTACACAAAATAGCAAATTAAATTTTTTTTTTTTTTAAATTTGAAGAGGGTTAATTTAATGTTTAAGTGTCCTTATATTAAGGGTTGTTGTCGCATAGTATTTATGTAGAATAACAAGAAAAAAAAAACAAAAAAAAATGTTGGTGATTATTTTGTTAAGTGACTAAAAAATGTCTTTTAAAATATAGGAAAATTTAAGGGATTTTTATTGAATTTGGTGGTTTTTGGAAAAAAAATAACACTAAAATATTTAAAAACCAAATTAAACGTCTTAATTACTAGTGATTCCCAGTCAAAATAAAAGTATGAAAGTGAAGACTTGAATTTTATAATAAAAATATTTAAAAATATCTTATGTGGCCAGCCCATAACCGACCGCAGTGTCTATCGTCTAGTTTACAGAAAGTGTTACAGAAAATTATGAAAATGTCTCCTAAATTCTTCTTTTATTATAATCGGTTTAGCTTGCAACACATATGTGCACATACAGACCTAGAGACTGACATTTCTTTAAAAATAACTTATTTACGCTTCTCTATATTGTGGAGAAGTTGCGTTCACCGAAATCTTCCTTATTGTACGCAATGCAATCGGTAAAAATTAATTATAATATATAAATTTTTACATTATCTGACAACAGATAAGTGGTACATTAATGTAAGATCAAGTTGTACTCGAAAACGGTACGACAAAAATTACTCGAAAACGGTTAGTCTGACATTTTATTATTGATATTACCGCGGTGTAGACTTATTAATTGAGAAAAAAACAGTTTTGAACAAGACATTTACCTAAATTCAATAGCTTCGAAGCTATAAACTTGATTTTTTTAATCTTCCAAAACTACAAGTCCGACTTCCTCCTCCTATTCCATGACTTTTTTTTTCCACAAAGGCTCCAATCAAAAGCCCTAGAAAAACTTTAACTCCCGTAACCAAGAGTTCAATTTTTTGAAAAACTCTCAAAACAGCATGAAATGCGCGTACAAAACAGCTTACATTATGTGACGAGAAGAAAGAGAAAACAGAAATCCAGCTCCTACGCTCATGCACATTTGTAGCGAACTCATGGCAGAGATTTCTTGGGTTTCCCTTTTTTCAACGAATTACAAAATTAGTTAACGTAAATGTATTTAACTCGTTTTTGAAAAATTCATACTGGTTTTAATAAGCCAGGGAGAGGGCGTTATACGGTTGTACTCAAAGGGTTTCACTGGCCAAAGTATGCATCTTTCGGGGAATCGAACAACATATCAAAACCTAACATATCCCGAAATAAATTCAATCAATTAAATCTTTAAACTCTTATACTTTATAGCTATTGTTAGTTTAGTAATTGTTTCATGGTTACAAATGTCAAAAATTGAACATTGTCTTTAACAGCATTGAACACATTCTTTGACAGTTAATGTGTATAAGTTTTTGTAATTCAAGTATTATCAAAATTTGAGTGGTTCTATTAGATTTTTATGTAGTTTTATTAAGAAAACTTTTCATTCTAATGTGAGCTCCACGTAAATATTAAAAACATTTGTAATTTTATTAAGACAATTTTATTATGACAATTACTGTTATGCTAGTAATTGACAAAATTTGTCACAAAAAATTATTGAACAAATTTATTTCAAATAAAATCCGAATTTTATTCAAAACTAAAATTTCAAATTAATTTGTTGATTGTTCCGAAGCAACCCACACTATGTGAATGCATGCCATATGTTTTTATTTGCAATTTACACACTTGTAAATTTTATAAAGTTTTTAATGTTATAGTTTAGAACCAATTACAATCTGCTTATAGAAAATATTTATTAAAATGATTTTTTTTTCATTAGATTAGTTGATCATTTCAATAAAGATTTTTAGAATTTTAAAAGTATGTTTGCACTTTTTTTGTGTTCCTAATAAGAAAACTTGTCTATAAAATTGTTAGTAAAATTATTTAAGAACTTTTTATATTTCGTACAATTTCTAAGTATTTAAGTTTATTTATACCCACACATAAGAATTGAAAATAATTTTATATATGGGGGAAACTTTAAAATGCTTAAAAAATACTTAAAAATTGCAATGTAAAAAGAAAGTTTTTAAAATAAAATTTAATCAATACGAGTATTGGTCGGATAATCAGCACATGCTTTAAGAATTTGCTTTGCCAACAAAATAAAATCTAATTTCTTACATAGTATAGAGTGGAAAATTCATGTTGGATTCATAGTTTCTTCTCAAAATATTGCACTACAGCCACTCTTAAAAGTTTTATACGTTTTTTGTTTTTCTTTTCAAATTGAAATTTATACTTTTTGAAAAATACTTGTAGTAAACTTTTTTTGGTATTTGGTTTTAAAATAGTTTTTAGGGGTTTAAAGTTTTTTTTTTCTCTTTAGAGATCTAATAAAATATTTTAATATTGTATGCAGAATCTAATATGTTTTGGTAAATTTAATGAATTGCATTTATGATATACCTAAAATAAATTTAATATAAATATGATATTTTTTCAGGGTCGGAGTACTCAGCTATGATGCCTGCACATTCATTTATTACGAACATATTTAAGTATAGAGTCAAATTTGCTGTGTAGTAATAAACTGAATGCTATTAAGAGGCAGCATTTTATTTTCGGTAACCTGTTATATCGCATGATACGTTACTTATATGGCAGATACTGAATATACTGTTCCTCCGGTGATATGTATTATCCGGTATTGATCATCGTTCTGAAAAGTTGGTGCATAACAGTGTTTAGATAAAATTTTTGTAACTGGGACAGACAGTTATTCTGTTTTAGTAAAATAATGTATTTTTAAAAGTATAATCGTATAATAATTATGCGGGACATGTACATGAATCAATGATGCTGAATTTTGTTAAAAATTTTGAAATTTTCGGAATTGTTGAAGGGGACAAAATAAAAAATTGTAATAATTTAAAAAAAAAATTGTAAAATTACTCAAAATCCGGATAATATCATTTTGAAGAGAGTAGTCGGCTGGCTAATAGTTTTTTGTAGTGAAATTGCTTTATTAAGTAGTATGAAGGTGCAAGTATAGTACTTAAATACAAAAACAGTGCAATTTATTTAAAATTTTTGTGATTATTCATAAATTTTAACTTAACATAAAAATCTAAGCCCGCGACACTATCCTGAACTTAAAAAGAATTTCAATTCGCATGTTGTGATCTTCTTATACTCAAATATTAAGAAACTTTTACAAAAATATTTATTTTATATGAGTGTAACAAATACACAAAAATTTTATATTGAAAAAATTGAAATTCCAATATTTCAAATTAAAAAAATTTTTAAACTTAAAAATTTTGGGTTTATAGTTTTAAAAGAGAAAATTTTCAAGAACATGTTAATTTTTCTTTGGGGTACTCTGATACACACACTTGTGCTCAATTTCCAGTTTAACAAGGGCGGTTATTGTTTTTTATACAAACTTGATTTTAACATACGAGAACTAGGCATATAAGAGTGTAAATAAAAACAAGTGTTCATCAAAATTAATTATGAATTTCAAGAATTCAAGATAAATTATTTGAAAAGTAATTGGAATTGTAGGTTTTTACATTTTCCGAGTTTTCGAAGAATAAATATTTTTCTAATTTCAGTAAAATTTCAGTAAAACAAGAAATAATGAGGGAAACTGTGGAGGGATCCAACATGAACAAGAGGCCCACACAACATACGTGTCTGTTAAAAACACTATAACCACATGATTTAAACTAATTAAATTTCAATACGACCCTAATGAGTCCCGTCCTGGGCTAAGACAGGCTATTATGACCAGAAATGATATAAGAAAATAATACGAATGGGAAGAAACCCTGGTGAGAACGCTCATGGCTCTTCGAATGTAACAGTATCGTCTCAAAGGTGATTGGCCTTGAGACACAAGGGCACTTGCAGGTTCTGTCAGAAAATGGAGAAGACTTCGATGCGGTTTCTCGGGAAGTGTCGGGTGTTGAGCCACAATAGAAGCAGATCCCTGAGTGGTTGCACTCTCACAGAATGGGAGCTACTTCAAAACGTTCCGTACAAGGTTCTCGAATTTGTGAAAAGATAAGTCTCGAGAGAGCGCTTTAGGCGTGATAGATTCAGGAAGGGTGAAATGGCGGGCACAATAGATTCACCTCTTGGGTCGCAATACTTTGTTACCTCATGTCCAATCTAATCGAATCTAATTAGTCAACCTTTTTTCATAGACCTCTTGAACCAAACCTAAAATATTAAACGGAAAAAACCCCAATTCCTTGATGAATGTCATACCATGTTTGTATGCAAAAAATGAATTTTTTATTTATAGGCATTTAATTGCTAACTCACTCCCATGTTCTTTGAAGGTATATATGATTAATAACAGAGAAAAAAAAAAGAGTAAAACAAAAAAAAAACATAAAATAAAATCCTTTTGTTTGTGTTCAGTCTACTAAAATAGTACAAGTGCACTTAAATAGATTTAATTTCATGCTATGCTACTGCTATGTAAGTGTTACAAAGTAAAATAAAACTTAAGACAAATAAGCGAAAAACAAGAGAGAGTTGAAAGAAAAAAAAACAAAAACACAAGAATAAAGAAAAATTAAAAGAGAAACAGAACTTTTAAAAGTCTAATGAATAAAGTTTTTTTTTTTTACAAAAAAATAAGAAAAAGAATAACAAAAAAAATTATAATAATAACAACAATTATAAGGAGAGAAAACAAGGAAAATATGAAATAACGCCATAGCAAATTAGTTTTAAAATGATCTTCTGCCAAAAAGTTCACATATTCTCGCAAAACCAAGTACATACAAGCACATTATAGCAAGAAGAAGATAAAGTTTCATTAAAACTTCTGCATTATACGAGTATAGAGTGAGACTCTTGTTGTTTTTCTGTTGTTCCTCTTACTCTTTGTAAACACTACACACATCAACATACACATACAAACAAATGTATATTAATTTTCATTGAATGAAAGAAATTCGTACATGTATTCTGCAACAAGGATATTCTAACAATGTTTGTTTATTAAATAAACTATAAAATATGGGATTCAAGAAAAAAAAACAGAAAAAAATCCTACCATATACACAACAATTTAATAATGAAAAACAAATAAAAAAAAAAAAAAAAATTTGTATAATAAGTACGAGTAAATATAGGAAGAAGAAAAACTAAAAGGAAAACAAAAAAATTTTTTCATTTAACACGCTCCTCTTTTAATGTGTGTATGAAAATTAAAAGATGTTTTTTAAAGTTTTGTGTAATTTTCTAGGAAAAGGAACAAAAAATGAAAATTTTAAGTTTTCTTGTTAAAAATTATGAATTTTGTTTTTTTGTTGTTTTTTACTAAATTTAGTATTGTGCTTTAAATTTATAAAAGTTATAAAATCTGGCACATAATCGAAGACTGATAAGCACTTATGTTAAATAAAAGCGATAAATAATATAGGCTTAGCGAAAGGACAATGCAGCAGGTTGTTTCAAGTTCCAAAAACATTCAAAACCAATTCAGGGATTTCAAAATTGACCACTGAAGTCGTTGTAATTTATGCATTCGAATATTGCGATAACCTCAAGGAAAATATAATGATTACCAGTACTGTTTTACATGTACATAATATGTAAAATGCAATGGGGACCGTGAGTGACCTAGGTCATTCTAACATTGACCCGTAGGATCTTATTATGATTCCTATCCCCATCTACATTGGCTCTATATTCAGGCCACCGACAAATTGTGGTATAGCAGCTACCCCAAACTGGGAGAATTTTGTCAGGTTGACGAATCGCCCTTCCGAAAACATCTCAGTCGAAGGTGAGCCAGCGTCTTACATTCACACAATAAGTGGTCCAACGAAACGTTCTATTTCAGACAGAGACGGTACACCTCGTCCTCTGCTTTGCACATTCTTTTTCGATTGACCGACCGATAGTCTCAAATCTGAGCCCTGGTCCCAAGGAAGAAATAAATTTTTTGAAGTAAAATAAACCATAGTTACAATTATCGACCTTAGCCGACCCAACCACTTAGAGATTCCGATATTTGATGCGATGACATTGCCATGTCTTAATGTGTTCTATAGAAGAATATAATTCCAAACTGCATTAGGATATTTATGAAGTTAATAAGCAAATTCGCTGTTAAACATAATCTTATTTACTGGAATTCTTAACAGAAAAATAATTTGCACCACAAATAAATAAAAATATTTCTAAAAAAAAAAATTTTTTTTTTAAAAATGCAAAAGAAATTTTTTTTTTATAATTATGTGTCCATGGTTTCCATGAATTTTTTTGTTGTTTTTATTTTTATTAAAATTTTAATTACAAAATTTTTAAATTTCCCGAGTGGTCACCATACTAAATTAAATTTGTTAATTAACTAATTGCTAGAAAATTAAAAATGCCATTCTGTGTTATGTTTTAATTTAAATTCTTTTCGTTGATTATTTTTCGTATATGAATGAGATTTATGGTTGGTCATTAAAATATTTTTTTAAATTATTAAATTGAATAGAGTTGAAAAAAAAAATAAAACAAGAAAAATACGGTAAAGTAGATTTGATTTTTTTTTTTCTGTGACAAAAACAAATATTTTAATTACCATGGTTTTGTTTTTAAATGAAGTTAAACACCGCCATACCAATTCTTTTTCATTACGTAGTTTGGGAATGTGCTATTAAAATCACAAATATTGTAGTTCGGATCAAATAAAATCAAATAATTTTCAAATTTCCATATATGCAATTAACAAGGTTTCTTTAAAATTTTGTTAAACTCACACTATTTCAGTCACATTCTTGAGATTGTTGGGATCACATAATTTCAGTTCTTTTAGTAAATCAATTTCATTCACCAAAGCAAAGTATCAGTTGCTTGCAAAAGTATTCAAAAGTAAATGACGAACCAGTGGTATTTTATAGTTTGTTAAATAGGCTCTCATTTTGAAATAACATTAATTTGAAATATAAGAGAGCGTCTAATGTAAACACTCTCTCAGAAAAGAAAATCTGTCTTTTTTTATAGAAGAGTGTTTCAATTGCTATAATAAACACAAATTTTCTAATATCTCCGGCTTCAAATTTTATGATCTATAAATGAAATTCTTGCATAATGCAAACTGGGTTTGGAGACTGAAAACAGGTACTTTCGGCTCAACGAGTGTGGTGCATTGATTCATAAGAGAAAGGACATCTTAGGTGAACTCTCACTGGTGGGCATGTCGTTATGGAATATTTCGTTGTGGGTAGGTATGTCGTTGAGGAAAAGTTATCCAGATACATCAAAGTTTTTGGCCTCGATAGGGTGCTCTAGTCAATACACCGGACGCTCATGATAGAGAGGGGGCTTTCGGCACGACATATGCTTTAAGTCGTAGTGGATCATCTTCTGAATTTCAATTTTCAATATTCTCTGTTCTTTGTTTGAACATAACTGCTTTAAACAAGTTGAAGAAATTACAGATATAAGAATTGAGTTCAATTCGACAAGCTGTAATGTCGGACAGCGAATAATGGAATTTGTATTTAATTTCACTTAAAAAAATAAAATTTATTTCTGAAATTTTTTATTTAAAAATCGTGATTTCTAATTTATTTAACATATTTTGTAACTGGCATTCATTTCACGAAATTTAAATAACATTTTAATTTTAAAATTTTTATTGAAAGAGAATTTTTTTCGCTTTTCCAATATTATTGTGCATTCCAATAATAATTATAAAGGAGAATTTTTTTTAATATTTTTTTTTTGAATTTTTTTTATAGTATATTTGAAATGATTGTGACGTGAAGTATTTAAGGATTTAATAGCCTGTTGTGTTAGAAAATTTTTTGATGTAACTATTTTAGCAGCAGCTTTAATATGCACACAACAAATTACACATAAAAATTTAATTTTCAAAATTTAATTAAAATTAATATTCTAGAAATTTATGAAATTCATTACAAATTATAATTACTTACCATGAACTATCTTGTATAACATTCTTCCCACTGAAACTATAAATTCTTGGAGCTTGTGAAAAGAATCCACCTTGTCCATTAAATATTGCTTTCCAAGAATTGAATAAAACATCTCCCCTTGTATTAACTACTGGAAGTTCACGATCTCCTGTACGTACAATTGAATCTAAGTTTTGTACTCTGAAATGAGAAAATTAAAAATTTTTTTTTTTAATAAATAATTTTACAGGACTAATTGAGTACATATACTCGTAATACAGGTATGATTCGTGGTGTTGAAATATTAAGCATTAGAATGGAAGAAAAAATTTTCACCTTCAAATAATTCAAATGAAATCCCCAAGTTAAATTTTGACAATGAATTGCAAATTTTTCCACTTTGGAATTTACAATTAAATTGCATATTTTTAGGCTCATTTTTTTTGCATTATTGTACAACTATGAATTATTTTAAAAAATCCGGTCTAAATTAAGTATTTTTTAAATTTATTGAATTTTTATAATAAATTGGAATAGTTTTAATAGACTTACAAAATTATAGAAGAATGTTTACTAGTTGAATTAGTTGCAAATATTGAATTGGAATTTTTAACTTTGTTATCGCAAAATTGTTTTCAATTAAAATTATTTATTATTTTGAGATTTTTCTATAAACCCTCCGGCATAACGTTGAATCTTAGAAAATAATGGCATATGTAAACAGAGCAGTATGCACAGATAAGTAGAACAGTAAAATCGGTTATATTACTGTGTAGCATAATTTTGGGCAATTAACGTTGTGGCATAGATAATATTTTTTTCTAGGAATTTTTTTTTAAATTCTTGGCTTAACAATTCTATTAAAGAGCTAGATTTATTATATAAAAATAATGAAATTTTATTACTATTCTTAGAATGTGATATTAATCAGATCTTGTAAAGATAATTAGGTTGTTCCAAAATGAATAGCTTAAATGCTTTTGTTTATTGTCGACCTCACTAATACTACAATACAGTAGACCTTTAACCTCTAACAAAAAAATTTATCGCTACAATTATTGTAGAAGATCAGAATTTTTGTACTGCTTTTGTACTGCTGCCTAAAAAAACAATAAAAGAATTTGCCTAAACGTATGCAAATTCAACACAAGAAAACTCACCGAACCGTTCACATTTTATTATATAAAAATTTAATTCTTAACTCTTAATGCACTTTAAATAAAATGGAGACAACATTAAAGAAAGAAAACTAATTAATAAATTCTTCTCATTTACACTCATGTATTTTTAGGCGGAAAGAATTTTGGGGTGGGGGGGGGGGGGGTGATGTTATTAATAACAAAATGTAATATAAAATAAAAAGGAAACGAACCATAATAATTTTTTATTTCCTAACTTTTTTAATTTTACTCGTTTCGGCTCATAATACTTTTAACTTAAAGTTCTTGTATAGATGGTATATGTGTGTATTATGTACGTTCGTCCTTTAATTTTACATACTTGTGTATATGCTCTTATTATTGTTCCTTATATATACATACTTATTCTTTATACCTTTTCTCCTTATTTCAACAGTTTATATGTTTGCTTTATTTTTGTTTTTTTTTTTTGTACTTTTGAAGTGGCATTTAATTAGGACCCGATTTTCAAGTAAATTTTCTTGTAAAAGAAGACCGCAACAAATATTTAAGGAAATAAAAATAAAATGAAATAAAATAAAAATTAAATATGTAAAATTAACAGGGTGTTTCGTATTTGTTAATAAAGCAGAATTAGAGAAAATATTTAAAATATTCGATTGTTCTGTGCTTCTTAACGGCATGAAGCGGTGGAAAATTTTATTACCAAAAAAACAGAGACGTGGATGAATGTGACTGTTGTGAGCCATATTAGAAATACTTTTGATTTCCAAATTAATATGTCCGTAGCGGCATGGTACCGGCCTATTTTCCAATAGAATATTTTCTTTTGAATATGAGAGAAATTGAAAATTCATAAAAATTCTCATAAATTTCCTAATTTTAAAATGGAATTTCTTAGGGAATTCCTTTGGATTTCGGGAATGTTGTACGAAAAATTAAGAAAAAATTTTTACAAATGAATTTAAAATACGATCAGAGACAATAATTTTTACTCTTGGAGCTTAGGTAAGATTAAAGAAAAAAAATTTTAAGTAAAATTTTTCTTTCTAGCCCAATATGTTTCATTCTTTCTTCTCTCATGCATGATATATACATATGTACATGTAATGAAAATTAAGATGATCAAGGAGAATAAAGATGAAAAAAATTTTAATAAAAGGATTCTTTGGTTTTCTATTAATGAAGTTTCATATTATATAAAATCATTTTTGCTTCAAGTTAATTACCCTAAGGTACCGACTTTTGGAAAAAGAAAAAAAATAAATAGGTACATTTGTTTTCCTTTTTCTCCCCCTCTCCCCCCACTCCATTTTTTTTTTTGTTGTTGCCACCTCTCATTTCCTTTATTTTAATATTATTTTTTCTACTCTGTTTCATTTTAGTCCTTATTTTTTGTGTTGTTTTGTTTTACATCTTGTATCAAAGGATCAAAAGTATATTTAGAATGGAGAGTAATACTCACATATAGAAAGGATATAGAAAGGAAATAAATATATTGAAATAAATGTATTTTTATTGTAGGTAGCTATATACAAAAGAAAAACTCAAATGAAAAAAAAGGATATCGAATAAAGTGAATATTAGTTAAGTAGGTAGGTACGCAATTTTCTTATTTAATGTTAAGTTTTAACTCCTGTAAAGTTGGGACTCCTGTACACACACATAATGAGTTCTGGACTATAAAATTTTACAGGAAATGTTTTTTTTTTGTTCTAATTTGGTTCTCTTATATTGGTTGGTGTCCTTATTTCCTTTTAAATTTGGTTTTTTTTTCATTAAAAATATTGCATAAGAAAAATAAAAGTATTAAGGATAATAAAAGGATTTTTTCTTATTTTTCAGTTTTTTCTGTTTTTTTTTTCGTAGAAATATTTTTGTTTTTAAATGATGATATGAAGGGGGAATAAACCTACAACATACGTTAGTTAAGAGAAAATTTATCGACTGTGTTTTTTTTCGGTTTAAATAACATTATGGTTTGAAATTTTCAATAATAAAGCTGGCCATCTTTCCTCTATATTGCGTTCAAGAATTTGCTGATTTTTTTTTAAATAATGTGAGTAAGATGTTCAGTTGTTGAAAGATTAATATTAAATTATGATATTGGAATCAGGGTATAATAATTATTGATATTATATAAGTGTTATGCTTAATTGCATTTCATTACAGTACGACGAGAACGCAAGAGAGAGAGAATGAGAATATTCACCTAATTACCTCACATTTTCTAATAAATAACCAAATGACACTATAATAATAATTGTGATTAGTGATAGAGAGAGGATTATAAAATTTACAGTACATTTAAAAAATTTCATGAGAATTTTCTGTTAATTTAAAAGCAATACCGAAGTGCAATTGAATACCGGAGAGTGGAGAAGAGTTTAGAGTATTTTGAAAGAGAGTTTTAACAAAATCACCAGGTATTTATGATTGAAACACAAAAAACTAGCTGTAACAGTTTTTTCTAATTTGAGTTCATGAATGGAAAATCTTCTGCCCCTATTTGTTTAGGAGATTACAATATAATTCACGAGCTGACTCAATTATTAGGGACGGATATTTCGAATCACTGTATTATAAATTCCTTCTATAAAATCCCAATAATTTGTAAGCCAATTAAATCAATAATTTTCAAGAGAGTGTCCTGTTTTGTAAACCCTAATTTTATTTCAAAATTTTTCTCTTATTAAATGGAAAGCACAATTTTTCTTTTTAACTTCATTTTATTATTTTATGTTGTACTCTTTTATTTCTTTGGTCAAGATTTAGTTTCTAAGGAACAAAAAAAAAAATTAATGTAAATTTTCGGTGCAAGTTTAAAGGTACATACGAACATATGTAAATATCTACATAAAATAGAACTAAAAATATTATATAAGAAACTTGTTGACTTGTTAATGGAACATTTTTCGTATATATACATACATATACAAGTAAATTATTATTATTATTTTTCATGTAAACGGTAAATTGTGTGTTGAGTAGGTGTCCGATCATACACAGTTAATTATTGAATTTTTTACGTAAAACAGAAAATTTAATACTATATAAGAATTTCATATATTGTTGTTGTTTCAGAGTCCTTTTTCAGTGTTTCGGTTCTATTAAATTTAGTTAATTTTCATATATTTATTATAGTATTATTATTCAGTAATATTAGTGCTCATGAGATGGGGAAATGTTTGCTGTAATATTGTTGTTCATATTTTGCGTTTACTGTAAATATTTTTTGATTTGTAAGTGTTAATATAAAAATAAGAGATTGTTGAAAAGGGCTTCGCTAACGGATTTCATGTTTTTGCATATTTTGTTATCACAATGATCAGGAGTCTCGATAATTCATTATGATGTTGAATTTCATGATTCCTGGCACACGTTGGTATAGGAATTTCCATTTCCCGTTCTTTATGTTGGTGTAACATTATTTCTTGTGTTAATTTTGTGTTAGATATGAGTAGCCTGTATATTGATCCTGTATATATTATTTTCTATTTTAATTGTTGTCGTACTTTAATGAATTTTGTAATTGGTGTATAAGCTTTCTGTTAGTGTTCTCATGTCGAATTGGTACAAAATTTTTATAGTATTTTGGTCTTTACTACTTTTATTGCCAGTTTATGTGGTTGATTATTTTATATAAGATTTCATTGTTAGAATTTATTTTACATTGTACCAAAAGCGTTCTCAGAGTAAATTATCACTAAATTATATGCATATATAAATATTTGTCCACTATCTCCCATCTATTACATTGAAGTGTTTTAAAGAATCAAAAATATTAAAAACTCAAAATTTATACAATTTTTGCGTTAAAAAATTTGCAAGTTCTTTGAACCCATATTCCTAAACACAATAAATTTGAATTTTTATACACAAAATATTTATTGTCGGTGAAAAAAAAATCAGTGTAAATGCCCTAAATGCAATTCTAAATTTAAATAAATTGAAAAATACAAAAAAAAAAAAATGACCACGATTTTTAAACGGTTTCCATTTTATTTTTCCCCAAAATTCTTTGTTGCGGTTTTGTTTATTCCTTTCCAAGCCATTTGGTTA